AGATTTAACAAAAAATTATTCAGGCCCTAGAAAATCAGTCAGGATTTTCTGACTGATTCAGTGGGGAGCATAAGTTTCATTGTACGTATTCAAACTATTTGAAAATATATTTTAGAGATATTTCACAATGTTGATGCTCCTTATCCTCTATTTGATAAGAGTCCCTTTCCAAAAAACCTTTGTGATGTCCAGTGCAGTAGCACAGACTTCAAAGCCATGTCTGCTTAAAGCAGGAGGCTGAACTTCCTGAGTTCTCCAGACTTCTCCTTCAACATAAATTCTCCTACGATCTCACAAATACAAATCTAGATAGGGGGAGCAAAAAATAAAATGAAATACCTCAGATTTTTGCTTATTTTCTTGGGGAGATTTTTGTTTTGAGGACATTAGTGGGGGTCTTGGGGTTTTTCGTACATTTTTGGAAAGACATTTTTTCATTTGTAACCTAGCTATAGTTGTTTTTCTTATCTACAGTCCTAGTCTTCCAGAAGAGGGAGTTTGATCCTTTGCTACAGTAATCTAAGAATGAGCAGCTGCAGGTTCCAGATATGACACTTGCAGGTTTCTCTTTGATGAGATTCAAAGAGAAACATGCGTGCCATGTTGTCACAGGTTAAAGTGCTGTAAGACCACAGGCTACAGCTCACTCAGTGGGAAGAAGACTTTTGACATTTGAAAAAGCCAGTTTAACAAAGCTCAAACATAACAACATGGAAACCAAGAGAAAGAAAAAAAAATCAAAGTCGAAACAAAGCATTTTAGCAAAGCACAAAAAATGGACACATTTTGCTGTAAGTTTTGTCTGGAAGCTGAAAATTCTTGAAATCCTCAGAGCAGGGATGACAAACCCTGTTTCTGGTGGCTGGTTCACACAGATTATGAGTGAAGTATGATCAGATTACAGAAGAAATTATGTGATGGGGTTGATGCAACAGCAGGAGCATGGCCTGGTGATCTATAAGCTTTCCAGCTCACTTTTATTCTTCTAGGAAATAATGCATTTATGCATTTATTCTGCAGAAGTATTGGATGACATTCCCAATATTTAATAGAGGATCCCTCTTTACTCAAGCTTCTGAGTCAAATGGGACAAATGGGAATGTTAATATGATGAAGAAAAAATTAATACTGAACAGTGTAAAATTGAAATACACTATTTGCATAGAAAAGTAGCTTTCAATGCAAAGAACAAAATACTTATAGGTGAAAAGGCGCAATTTGGTAAAATGAGGTTAGGTAATAAACTCATTTTCAATGTCTCATTCCCCACTTCGGAATATGCCCACAGAACAGTCAAAGCTTTAAATGTTTTACTTTGCCTCAGTAAAAAAGCAGATTAAAAGAAATATCTGCAGCCTACACACAACTTACCTTTCAGGACTCATTGGGCTAGGCAGATCTGCTCCAGAATACTATAAAGGACAGTACAGGAGTATATTTCTACAATTTATGCCATAAATAAGTTCCCAATCCTACAGATACACACAGGGCCACAGAAAAATTTCTTGTGCATAAAGTTGCATTAAGGTTGTATTTAAAAAGCTTAAAAATAGAAGTGTTGTACCATTGCTGTTAGCTGTATTTAAAGAGAAGGTAGCCCAGAAAAAGAAAGCTGAAGTAAAATTCTAAATATACTTTCCTTCCAGCATGTGACTGCTGTTTCTGTTCTTTTTGTCCCATTATTATTTCCTCCACATAATGGAGAAGATGACTGAGAGAGAGTTCAGGGACTTCTCCTGCACACTGTTAGCATGGCTGACAGATTTGCTCCTCAAACTGAGCTTGTGGCCTGGGTGGCTTTGCCATGCAGCCTTTTCCCCTGTTGGTGACATTACTATTTTGTTAGGTTCCCACATGTCTGAGGCTCCCATAGTTTAGGCAAGTTTCTCTCATACTCCAAGATTACCAAACTTCTCAAACTACTTGGGTTTGGATTGTTTTGGATTCTTTTTTAATAACTTTTCCTTACAGTCAGAAAACCTTGTAAAGAGTAGAGATATTAAGGGAAGTGGAAGCTGTTACACCTGTGACACCTAAAGGTCCAGTCACAGAGCCTGTGCCTGGAGTGTTTTGACATTGGTCTGTGTGTGTTTTAAATTTCTTTTTTTCTTAGGAGTTTGATCCTATCTTTGAGCTGAAGGAAGGTAGCAGGTGGCAAATCTGACTACGAGAAACCATGGATGCCAATTCAGGAGCTCTGAAACACCATCTAGTAGTTTCAAAAAGTGTTTCCTGAAAACACAATCTTAAATACCTGCATCAGTTACTTGAATTAAACTACATGGATGTATGCATTAATCCATATTAAGTAATACATAATTTGTATTAATATCTGTGATGCAAAGTCAAGACCTGCCTAACACACATCTAGAATGAGGCAAGAAGCTGGTGTTAAAAGTATTGCAGGGCCGTAACACACTATTTTCCACTATGCAAATGATATGCAGATAGTAGCTACACTGAACAAGCTTGGTTTGTTTTAGCAGGCTATTTAAAAAACAACAACCAAAAAAATCAAGATGCTTTGGCCCATATATGTAAGTAACAACTTTACAGCAAAATTGTTGCTATTTATCAAGTGACTGGTACAGATTCACTTTCCAGTCACGACAAGGGTATATTCTGAAAATACAACTTGTGGTATCACAGGCTAGGTAAGACAAAAACATTGCTTCAGTGCTTCATGCATGCAAACTTCAAATAAGCTGAATGTTAGCAGATGTGTCATCAACAGCACATTCACCACCAGGAACACCCTAAGCAATCCCATGAAACTCAATGTGCTGGACTTGTTCATAAAGCTTGACTGACACCAGCCAGTGCTGGCTCCGTGCAGCCCAGACAAAAGAGCCCTCATTGCATTTTCCAGCTTTCAGAAATTTAGTGTTGCATTTAAAAAATTGCTTCTTTCTGAAGCCACCTCCAAATTCACCCTTCGGCCATTCTCTTTCTAATCCAAACACATTCAACCACAAACCTAAGTTTTGGCAGTGCAAACCCAGAGCCTTTGAAGATGGTAATACTGTGCTTGACTACTGTGTCAAATACTTTTTACACTCCTCAGGTTACGCAAATAACAAACACTTCTGCTACTGAGTGCTACTTATCGGCATGATATTACTTTTTTTTCCTCTCACCAGAAGGAAGATAACTGATTTAACTCCTGAACAAAATAATGTCACTGTCCAGCTGCAGCAGAAAGTTCAATTATCTTCCTTCCAGGCTTGACATCCTTAGAACAAGTGCATGTGCACACATGTACACTGAGATATATCACATTATGCCAGAACACAGAAATGGACCTGAACTGGACCTGTCTTTACTCTTTTGAAAACAGACAAGACTCAAATATAAGTTAAATTTCAAAACTGACTAGAAACATACCTAACTCATGTTAACCTTTTTCATTCATTCCAGAAGAGAGTCCTTTTGGGCCATAGGTGTGCCCAGTGGACCCATGACAATGTCAAGCCAAAGCCCCTCCTCCTTACATACTCTAACTAATACCATTTTGAAAGAAAATCTCAACAAAATAAAAAAAAAGGCAGTTTTTGTTTTCAAAAGGTATAAAAAGGCTGTTTCAGCAGCACTTAGCCTCACTATCATGTGGCTTAAAAATGCTCTGGAAACAATCCAGCCAGAACCCAACTGGAGCAAGCATCTCCTACTAAAGAGAAGCAAGTCTGCGCAACCAACACAAAGAAAGAAACAAAACTATTGTCTGCACCAGATAAACACTGTGGGGCTTTTGGTCTTGTTAGATGCAGCCTAATCTGGGAGCTTTTTGGGGCTTTGTGCTGGATCTGCATGGATTTAACCTCTACTCTTGAGAGAGCAAAGCCAGACTCCCCTGTGAAAACCAGGTCAGACAGAACTGTTGTTCATCAGCAGTCCATTCCCACACTTTTAGAATACAAACTACCTTTTTCCTTGACATATACACAGCTTCTGTACTGACACATGCACATACAACTTGGCTGAGGTAAAATCTGCCTGCTCACTACAAGGTCTGCATTTTACCATTAAAGGTCAAGCTAAGGAGAAAATGAACCAAACACAAAGCAAACCGAAATGGGAGCTACACAACACAGAGAACTACAAAGCAACAGGTGCCTTTGGAAACAGGTTTTCACATGGAAAAGCACAAGAAAATAAATTAAAAAACACAAAGACAAAAAAAACCCAAGCATTGTTCTTTAAAAAGAAACCAAACCAAACCAATTAAAATCTAATTTTAAAGAGTACTCAAAACCAGACGACTTATTATGCTGCAGTTTTCAGGTATGTGAACAAAACCAAGAGATTGGATATGACCCTTTGTTGTACGTCACTTCATTTAAAAATGTAAGATAAACATAATTAATTGGATTCACCTTCAAAAAATTAATCTTGGATAATATTTTTGGCATAGTTCTCTTAGTCAAGAGAATTTGGAAAGGGAAACAGTGGAGTAAGAGAAGATATATGCAGATGTTATTCTGACATGTAGAAAGGTACTTTGCCTCCACATCTGAAAGTACGTCTTTATTATTTATGCAAATAGACAACAAATCACTTGTCCAAGTGAAAAATAATTAATTTCCATGTAAGATGATATAAACTGCTTCCAAGGAGATTATAATCTCTCCGGTGCCACACAATGCGCATTTATTTCCCTTTGAAGGAACCACTTTGCACTCTATACCGGGTTTCCTTTTAGATTATGCAATTTTACTTGTTGTTGAGTCAAAAGGAGAGAAACACAAATGTTTTGGCTCTAAGCAGGGACAGTATTATTCCAAACCATAAGGAACCATGTGCCCTGCTGGAGCAGCACATGTTTCACAAGAACAGAGACCGGATGACGTGGTTTTACCCTACCAACAGGAGCATCCCTGTTTGTGACACACATCTGCAGCGGCCCCCAGCAGGGACTGTCTGACTACAGGCAAAGGGTCATCTCACACGGCAAGAGCAGCCTCCAGCATGGATTGGAAATAGAAGAAAAACATTTGACGTACTTGGATCTGACAAGATTGAGTCGGTTTTCGGCAAAAATTGGTCACAGCGGACTCCTTGGTAGCCCTCTTTGCACCTGAGGAAAAGGGGATAAATGACAAACATACGCATGCGGCAGTGAAAGGTTAATCTCAAGGCACCAAACCAACCCTGCCAACACAGCTCCACAACATGCAAGTTATTTGCACTCTAATGGGAGCATGGTTATTACTGGAACACAGTGGAAGCAGGTAAAATAATTTGTGTTTCAAAAAATTTCCCCTCAAATATTTCGATTATTTTAGAAACTATGAAAACAAACATTGTTCTAGCACAACCATTCTTTTATACATCAATTCAGTGAAACAACCAAAGAAAAAACCAGTATAAAGTATGCATAGCTTCAAGTAAAAGAAACTCTTCAGGTAACATAGCACTTTATAAAGCTTCCATGCTGCACAAAACATGAGACAGACAACTTCTCTGTGGCTGTCTGAAAAAGCAGGGAACAGTTAGCTAGCCATTAATTTTAATATCAGTTTATACTGTGCTTAGATAGACATCATCAGGCATTGTTTGCAAGCAGGAAGTTTAAGATGCCTGCGAGATTAGATTTTAAAGCACATAAACCAGAATACCCTCCTGCCTCAACAAACAAGAACTGGCTTTGACTGAGATTATAATACTATTATTTATCTTGAAACCTTACTTTGAAGAAATTCCATTTGCTGCTTTTGAACTGTTCTCAGAAGTCTCATTTCAACTAAGTGTATCAGAATCAGATCTTTAATTATTTATTCGTCAAGCAGTTTTTCGGAGGAAAGTGATGGACACTTTAATTATAAATGATAGCACCAGGGATTCCTTATCTCCCAAAGCTCTTGCACATCACATAAGCAATATGCTCAAATCAGCATCACCAGCTTTCATTAGGGTTGACAACTGCAGCTTGAATGATGTGATAATGTCAGGAGAAGAAGTTATCTGTTCCTTCACAATGTTTGTACTCAGGTCTCCTCTAAATGTTGCCTTTTAATACGCTTTTGGTTGTATAAATTAATGCTTCAATGAGAAGTGCATCTCACCAGCATTAACTCAGGGATTAGGAAGAACATTTGTGAGAAAATATGTAAAATATATTCCCATCAGACCAAAAATGTAGTAAAAATCTGCAGTAAGAGAAAGATTTAAAACCCCCATACATATAATATTTCAAAACCTCCCTTTTGGCCTTTCTCCCTGATGGATATGAGGTACTGCTTTGGAGATCAGCTTCCTCCCAGTACTTGTCTATCTATAAAATAACTGACTTGAAAAAACTGTTCAGGTTTTGTTTCGTTCAGATCCCATGACAGCGGCCATAAGCTATCGGTCAATGAAAAAATGTTCAATTAATTAAAACTGTCCACTAGTCAGAAAAACTGAAGCCCACACGTACTCAGGTACTGACACATGCATCTTCTGCCTCTGATTAAGAAACATCAGAAGCTGCCTCACATCAAAAAGAAACCCTTCTTCACAGTCTTGAGAGGAGCTGGCAGACCTCATACCAAAGTACAACCTTAAGTACAACCTGCCCTGGTGGGGATTCTTGCCTTTCTATGAGCATTTTCTATTCACTTTTTGACACACATTTGCACCTGTCCCGGTTATAAATCCCATATTACAGACTTAAGACCCTCTATGCTAAACTGTTGGTCATACAAGCATGTGAGGAGAGAGTGACAGAGTGGTATCTATCTCCTGGAAGAGCTGTGCCTAGTGCTCATGAGTGCACGAGGACATTTTCACTTACCTGCACCTCTGACAAACATGCCACAAGAGGAGTATGTTTCTTTCAAAATTTAGTACAGAGGTGGGTGATACTCCAAAGGACAATCTTTTAATGAAACACCGCAACCTCACACTCAGACAATACCTATTATGGTGAATTACCTTGAATGCTGTGTCCAGTTCTCTGTCCCTCAATGCAAGAGGGACATTCAGGTGCTGGAGCGAGTCCAGACCAGGGCAAGGGAGCTGGTGAAGGGAGTGGAGCACAAAGGAGGAGTGCTGAGGGAATTGGGGAGGTTTAGCCAGAGAAAAGGAGGCTCAGGAGGGGTCTTACTGCTCTCTACAGGTCCCTGAAAGGAGGGTGCAGTGAGGTGGGGTTGGTCTCTTCTTCCAGGTAAGAAGTGACAGGATCAGACGGAATCGCCTCAAACTGCACCAGGGAAGGGTTATATTGGGTATTAGGAAAAAGTTCTTTACTGAATCTGTGGCCAGGCATTGGAACAGGCTGCCATGGGAAGTGATGGAGTCAGCATCCCTGGAGGTACCCCACAACACACCTGTGTAGACGTGGTGCTGAGGGACACGGTTTAGACATGGGTTTGGGTTAACGGTTGGACTTACTGATCCTAGAGGGCTTTTTCAGCCTCAGTTAGTCTAGAATTTGATGGCCAAACATAGCTTGGTTTTTTAAACTGCATTAAGTTTTTCAGCAAAGATAAAAATTAAGTCTTCTACTTCCCTTAACAAATTCTTTTTTAAATCTCTGAAAGCAAATAATAGCAATAATTGCTCTGCCATTATGACACCTGAGTTCAAACTTCTGCACGTTAAGCCCTTAAGCCTTGCAGAATATACATTTGACAGTTATAATGCTACAATGTGATAAAAGTTGATCATGTGGCATCCCATAATCTCAGCTAAATCATCTACCATGTGTCCTAAATAGGCAGATGCGATATGCACACATGCTGCTCATTGGTATCACACCTCTAGGTAAGAGAGCACAACAACCCACTGCAGAAAACCCTACGAAAGCAGCACTGTGGTGACACATACAGCAGTTCAGCAAAGTCCAAATGAGGTCACTCAATATTGCCATATGCAGTGTGAATGATCAAATACATATTTATGGATGCATCAAAAAAGCCATGAGTTACCAGACAAACCTTGAGAAATGCTTAGGTGCAGCTCATGGTTTCAGAAATGATCACTCAATTCCGAGACAAAGTAATGTTTATTAGAGATACCGTTAAAAAAAAAAAAAAAAGTAAAAATAGAAAAGAAAAATAACGTGGATAAGGTATTGCCTGTAGTGAAGCAAAAGCATGATGTGCATGTGGGACTCCTGCAGTAAATGCTGGAGAGGACAGCCTAAGATCCATTCCAGCACCAGGAACAGCTCCTCTCCTCTTCTGAAGCACTGCACTGCATCAGCAGGCTTGGGCTTAATGCACACCGTGGCAAAGGGGTCTAAAAATCGTGTTAATTGCAGCCTCTTCGCAGAGTAAATAGGGGAAAAAAGGAATTGTCTTTTTGCATTCAGATTTTCACCTAAATAAGTGTGTCTGTCTAGGCTCTAGACCAAAAATATCATCAGGATTGTGCTGTATGAATGGAATTAGCTAAATCCTTCTGACTACACGGTATGAAAAGACAAGCACAGGTAAAGCTACTCTGCACTGCTGAAATGCTTGCAAACAGCATATCCCTAACTGATAAGTGCTAAATTCAGCTAAGATTATTTCATCATGTCTTCTTCACATCTTTTTTTGGCAATGTGCTTTCCCAGATGATTTTTTGAGGTCACCAGTCACAAACTGCATTGTGCATTGCACTTTGTGAAGTCACACAATGACCTCTGTGTGAAAACCTACAGGCAGAAACACATCTCTCATTCCTCGTGAGAAGCCTTTTTCCCTTTTTACTTAAGCACATTTGCACCTAACTATTAAAAAGCAAGTACAGTATGAGACTTTATTAATTCTTTCATTATTTTTGCTAATGTTAAACAGTACTAATACATGTTTGTTCTAGTCAAAGACACTTTCTGTGGACATTTTCCAAAACTGTTTCTTGTACAACCTTATGGAGCCAAGGGACATTTCAAATAGATGACTGTGTCACTCATAAGACTAACAAAGCACTCTAATTTTTAATGTTGGATTCGTTTGAAAAAGTAAAGTGAATGGGGGTGAGGGTGGAGCAAATTGCACAATAAACAAAGATGAAGAATAAAATAGATTTAAGACAGCAGAAAGGGAAGAAAGAGAACCTACATAGAAAACGTAGGGCAGGACATAAAACTTTAGGCCAAGAAGCCAATACTATCAGGATTTACATTTTCCCCAAAAAACTTCCATATAAAGCTCCACACCCCTATTATGCCTAAATATTTACTCGTCAAGGGACAGGAAGGTGGAGAATGCAGAAGAGAGAGTGGCAGCAGCAAACTGCAGAGGCTAGGAAAGAAGGCAACACTAAATCCCCATCCCTTTCCTCCTCCTCTGTGATATCCATCCATCTGAAATGGAAAAAATTCTCCCTCTTTCCCAAGTGTGGTGATCACATTGCCTCTGACCATGTGAAGAATTATGCAGAAAATGGCTTTTCTGCACAAAGAATTTGCGAAAAATAAAGTATACAAGTTCACTTCAAATGAAAATTTTGAAAATACCATGTGGCATCTCAGGGACAGACTACACCAGAAGAGAAAGCTGTAGGACTACACACCAGGAAAATAAGCATGTCATAGGCCAAAGGTGGTCTGTAATATTAAATTTTAAAAAAAGTCATAGTAGCGCAGTGCCCAAAAGATTAACTTATATGAACCTATAATCTGATTCTAGTCTCATAAACAGGAGTAATCCAATTTGAAAGATGGAATTAATAGTACCTATGAAAAATGGAATTTAATTTTTGCAGTGAATCCAAATCAAAACCCATTTCCATCCCCTTGTAAAACTGCAAATTGGCAGTCTCAAAGATGATATTAATTAGAATGATCCATCTCAGTGGATCAGCTGCAAATTATTTTCTCCTGACACCATTATATCCCCTGCACTAAGATTCAGATGCCAGTAAGAGAACATACTGCAGCTTTTATTTATCCTCTAAGAGAGAAATCCAAGATCATGATAAGAAAATATTCTAATGGTCTATAAATTTCGATCGAGTATTTATTTTCACACAGAGAATGCAATACTCTTTAACCTGGGTCAGAGAATCAGTTACACAATAAATCTATGATAGTAAGCCATGACACTATATAAGCCATTGGGCTGTCCCACAATCTAGCCTGAAATATGCTGTAAACAATGACAAATA